AATTTATTCAAATTATTGTAGACAAAAATGCAACCATGCGCCACAACCACATGTTTTTCGTGTTTGCAAATTCTTGCTGGCAAAATTTTTTCCAGCAAGAATTTGCAACTTCTCTCCAAGACAACTGTCACTTTGCTCTCACAATTTTTGAGTGTTGGATAATTTTTTGGTCTGCACGAACGCGATTTGGGCAAAAACCGTGATAATTGGTACAAATTCGTACAAATTTTTTGCTCGACGAACAAACCTAACATTAGGAGTGTTCGCTATGCAAAAAAATTGTACAAGTTGGTACCAATTGTTACCAAATCGTGTTCGTTTAGCCAAAAACCCAGTAAAACTTGTAAGGAGAGAGCATAGTTTTGACATTTCATTTGGAGGAGAAGTTGCAAATTCGTGCTGGGAAGATTTTTGCCAGTAAGAATTTGCAAGCAGGATTGTGGCACACGGTTGCATTTTTGTCAACATTAATTTGAATCAACGAGTTCGTTACATTTAAAAATGAACAACCTTGTTGCGATTTTCTAATGAAAGAAGTATGTAAATATTCGTTTATTCAATTAACTTAATTAATTCCAAACATTGGATAGGTACTCGGCTGAAAAAGCTGTATTCGTACTCGGAACTCGACACCACTGTCGATATAGGAAATCCGACAGTGACATCCACAATGAGATTGAAGGGTATGTTGAAGAAAGTCAGAATAAGAAGAAATATACGTATAGGTCCGGTTTCCACCTGAAAAAAATCCTGAATCCCTGAAAATCCTGAAAAGTTTCAAACTCAAATAAATTTAAATTAACGGAAATTAAAGAATATGCAAAAAGTGAGAATAATCTAAAAAGTAAAAAAAGTGAATTGTAATTGGAAGGAGGAAAAAAATAATTGACATAGTTAGTGTTTATTATGCTTGTGCTTGTGTGAATGTATTTTGTACATACATTTCCATTCTTANTTTCTCTTTTTGTGAGCGCATTTTGCTTACGAACACTCCTATTTATCCAGTAAAATCCAGTAAAAACTTGCAACTTAAACTGCCATCTCTCAATTTCCCCTACTTTGCAAGTTTTTGCGTACGAACGCCAAAACATGGAAAATTCGTAAAAACTTTTACTGGATTTTACTGGAAATGAGTAAATAAACGCAATTATTATTGCGCAGAACACGTCCAAACACACCCGGGGTTCATTTGTGAATGAGCCGCTTTCTTACAATAACAATTTGAATTGCACTTTTGAATTTCTCAGCTTTGAAAAAAAAACATTGTTCAAATTTGTCAAGTTTAAAAACGCATATCTCCCAGCCGAAAAATGATAGAAAGCTGAAAGCTTACCACCAAATGTAGAATTTAATGTGGAATAAACCTGTGTTTTTAATATAAAAAAAGGATTTTTAAAAATTGATTTTTGAGCACGCTTGGCCCAATTGTGGGGCGTTCAAGTTAGGTTTGATGCCTATCGACCAGTTGAGAAAAAGTAGCACGGGCCCATAGATTTGTATATTTGTAATTCATATTTATATTTTTTTATAAATCTCTCCAGGAACTAAACAAAAAATTCCCTGAACTCTTTACCATGCTGTTAACATCTTTGGCCACCTACACGAACTTAGCGCCACCTGTGCACGCAGGCAGTCAGCGCAGCAACTCGCCAACTCAACAGGGCGTCGCCGCCTCGAGCAGCTCACTATCCACGGTCGCCTCAACGACCAAATCGAAGTTTGGCTTTGTCCCGAACAAGGATCTAGTTAAGTTGAATCCCTGTCAAATTGTATTGGAAACTTTTCAAGCATTCCTCGGCAATCTAGAAATGGAACAAATCGCTACCGTGCTCACAGTGCACACCCAATTGGCCAGCAGTACCGATCTGAAAAACTACATTGAATTGCTAACACCAATTGCTATTGGGCTAGTGAATCAATTGCAAATCTCATCGAGCACTATGAAACAGGTCGTCACTGCGCTTAGCAAATATGTTGCATCACCATATGATGGTCAACGGATTGCTGCAGTGGGTTTGTTCTCACGTCTTGTGCCGCTGAAACCATGCGGAGAAATTTCTTCAGTGATTATGTTGCACTTAAGCTCGGCGCTGAGTGATCCTAATGCCGTTGTGCGTGGAATAAGCATACAAGGTTTAGGATACGTGGGAAGTCTGACTGACCACGATATCGAAAAATACACGGAAACCGCAGTGACCGCACTGTTGAAAGGCATTGATGACACTGCTAGGTGAGTACCATTTTAATCAGTTGGGGGAATTCTAAAAAACTAGTACATTTTCATTGCAGTGACTGCCTTATAAATATTCCACTCGAAAGCATGCGCGGACTAGCACGCATTTTACAGACATTGCCCAGTGACCGTCTAGAATCATTTCATGTCTCGTTAGCGATACGTATTCGGCCATTTTTCGGCAGCTATTCAATTGAGATACGCGAGGCGTCCATTATTCTCTTTGGCGATCTATGTGAGTCGAAAAAGGCACACGATGCTAATGGCAGCATTTCGCCGAATGCTTCCTCTACAGAGGCGCTGCGGGAGCAATTAATTGCAAACCTATTTCCAATTTTGTTGCATTTGAGCGAGGGTGATGCGACAATAATTAGAGTGAGATGGATTTTGTTAGACCTACTATGTTCGATGTCAACTTAAAACATTTTCAGGCATGCAAAGGTACTTTACGAAAGGTTTGTGGCTTGCTGAATGCACCAAAAGTGAATGAAATGGCACAACGGCATCTAATCGACCATGGACAGTTAAACTATGGCGTTTTTATAGTCGACTTTGTTAAATTAATTGTAAGCAAGTTGATATTGTACTGGAGTTTTTTCTTAAGATACGGTTTTGTTTTCAGGCTATGGATTTGCCAGATTTTATACAGGACTTCATTGACTCGGCAATACCGAAATTGCGTAGCCAATGGGCAGAGGTGCGGGGCAGCGCTGCGATTGTAATAGGTGAATCGCTAATTGTTATTTGAATCAAATATGATCTAATTACCTCAACTCTTGACAGGTATACTCCACAACTTCCTGCCGGAACGGAATACGCAAACCGAGTCCGTGGGAAATAAACTAGCCGCTCTACTAAAAGACGAAAATCATTTTGTTCGCGTTAAGGCAGCCACGGCATTGGGCTATTTCTTTGGGGACATTTGAAAGGAAAAAACCGTTGGCATTTCAGCTAGAAATCGGTAGTGATTTTTTTTAATGCGAATAAAAGCATATGGTCTTATTCCCAAAAAATAAAGTAGGTTTAAAAAGCTTTATAAAATGACGTTTTCATACATTTTTCAATTTATAAAGCTACTTTATTTTTTATGAACAAGGCTAATAGAATTTTGAAAATGCAGTGTACCTTAAAGTATATTATATTAAATAGCACTGTGAATACGTGTCAATGTGATTATAGAAAACTAGAATAATCTTTACTATATGGGACTTTTTCGTATACTGGTATATACATACGTACATTGAACAAATGATTGTCGTATATTACATTTGACGACTTTTGGGAAATCGCGATCGAAGTTTAAAGTCTGTTTTCTTGAAAACGTGGTGGTAGATTCCTTTGAAAATTTTATATGTTGTTTCCAGCTGAAGGAAATATTGGAATTTATTATTAAAAAAAGTTGCACAAAATCTGCAACATTAATTGCTAATTTTATTTACTCACACTTTGTCGTCTGTACAGTTGACAACTTGGTTGTGCTCAATTCATAAACATGCGACAAATTACTAGCAAAATATCACACAAATCATATGGAGGATAACTTTAATTTCAGCTTTATTTGAACATCAAAATATATTAAAGGAAGCATAAGACAAGTCATATTTAAGCAAAAAACAAAACCGACTTCGATTCTCTTATAAAAATTTAAGAGTACCGTTAATTTCTTCATGATCCAAATTAGTTACTAACATTCCTTTAAAAATATATGTATTATAGTAATCGGTTAATAGACCACGTTATGCGGTAACAAAAAAAAAATACAAATATTCCGACGAACTAATAACCCTCTTTTTTTGAAATCGGCTAAAAATAGTTCTTACAAATCTAGTAAATA